ATGCGGAAACACACACACACAGACACACACACACACACACACACACACACACACACACACACACACACACACACACACACACACGCACACAGACGCGCCAAAAACAATACCTTCCATTTCATGGAGGTAATAACAACAATCAAATATATTCTCATAGGTGACAATATAAAGTACACCGACTTCACTTTACTTCACTTATTTCCCTAGAGTGTGCATACTGTCCTAAAGTTCGGTATTAAAGCCATGGATAGCAAAACACAAAATCGGTTCAACTATATGTATTAGGTGCCTGTACTAGAATATAGCCATAAAATAGTTACAGTTCAATACAAGACATCACGTATGGGCGTCGTGCGCATTCCCTCGAGACTCCAGTGGTCCTCGAAAAATGAAACACAGCTATATATCATGAGACATAATTACGAAGGTCACGCCCAGAGGGGTCGTTTGGCGTAGCTGTTTAGTGCTCGACTCGAAACCAAGAGGTCCCGGGTTCGAGTCCGGACATGCCACCGATCTTGTGCCCTTGGGAAAGGCACTTAACACGACTTTCCTCACTTCGCTCAGGTGAAAATGAGTATTGTGGTGGCGGCATTAATATAAGTTGACGAAACTTGAGTGTGCCGTCACCACGTCTTGTGATTACATGTTGAAATGTCGGGAGTATATGATATGTCTAGATCTAGACTCACTCGTCCAGGTTAGTAGTGAGAGTCCTGCCGTTGGCCAGGAACCTCGTGCGGCAGTTCTTGTAGGACGTGCAGCTGTCCCAGGTATTACCTTCACTACACAGGTTAACCTTCGAGGCCTCTACAGGAAGGTAGGCGTCGTCCTGTAAACACAAGTAACACGTGGGTTTCTGGAAAGGGGTAGAGGACTATATACACGAGTATCTCGCATGGTTTCATGATGGAGACAAAAGAGACTTACAGTTGCAAATTAAGTCAAGGTGCATCATCTATTTCTGTAACACAAATAACACATAAACTTCTTATATTTTGGCGGCACCTCTGGGGCGGTGCCATCTGACTGACTCATAAGTGGCGTTTGCAGGTCGTGGTGGGAGAGAAGGGCGACGATACATTAACAGCTTTAATTCCATGATCAGGTCAGTTATCAGTCTTCAGACATGTACTGTATCGAATGTCATTGAGCATAGCCAGTAACAGCGCCCTTTCACTGACCGTGCTATACAGAGTGTCGTTGACCCTGTACTTGGCTGTACATTTGTACTGCTGCAGACAGTAGCTGCTGCCGCCGCCGCTGGACCCACTGGTGCGTCTTATTCTGTCACGAATCAAAAAGATCAATGGATGACATTGATGTTTTTACAAAATATTCACAACCTATTTCTTTACAGTCGTATGGCTGTGCAGAGACAAAAAATTACTGATTAAGTTCAAATCAATTACTAGTATATTGTAGTGCCGAATGATAAATACAACGAAAATATTCCAAGCTGGCTGTAACAGTACATGACAAACAAAACTGTGTAACTGTTACTAGTGTGCAACTTCATCGATCGGTCCGTGGTAGCCCTATCCTGTACCAAAACGGTGAATCAGAGACGGATACCGGACAGGGACACGAGAGAAAATACGGATGGATATTATTAAAGCTAGGAGATTATAGGTGCCTACGCTGTAGCCCTCCTCCGGGTGTTTACATATCGGCGGCGTCGGGCCAGGAGAGCCGAGGAGCGGTCCGGTCCGTACAGGTAGGACACGGTGAGGACACACAGCACTGCGGTGACCGTCAGCTTCATCACGGGGTAGCTCTAACGGTCAGTCCTGGGGGACACATACAGCTGTTAGAATTATCATGAAACGTCATCTGTGTTGGTAGTAATCGTAATAAAATATTGACCTTTATTCCTACATAAGGACCCTGATGATGGCGACAGTGGTCGTTGAAAATTTGATCTCTGTTTCATCCTTGTGTTGGAGTAAAGTTTAACATATTACTAAGCTGTTAGAATCTGTAGGACCATGTCTCTCATAGCTGGGGTTGTTCAAGGCTCAGTATCTTGATGGCGGGGTGGTGGCTCGAGGCCTGGCCATGGGTAGACCCGAAATTCTGCCTCCTAAGTCTCTGATCTGTTGAACTTTACCTGGGGTTAGGATATTTAAAAGAACTGTAGGTTTTATTGTCCTACGTTTTTTTTAAATGACTACTTCGTAAACAAACACTGTACAAACCATCATTCAGCCATTTGTGCTGGAAGGGTTTGTTTTTATTAAATATAACATCTCTCTCCCTCCCTCCCTCCCTCCCTCCCTCTCTATCTCTCTCTCATTCAGAAATGGCCTGCACATGTGTTACACAATCTCTCGATATCAGAGGCTAATTGGACCACTTTCCGAGGTATGTATGTTTAACGACATTGTCAGCGTTTCCTCGTAACGTATATTCTGTTGTTTAATACCCAAAATGGTAAAAGGGGGGGGGGGCTCTTTAAACCAACACAGATCTGAGGAATTAATTATTATATGATATGACAAAAGATGCATCCATGGTATATGGTAAATGACAATAAACTTAATTTATATTCACGCCCTACATGAGCCAAAGGCACTAAGTTAGATAACTGAGGTACAAGGATAGAAGGAACAAGTGTTAAATTGCTGTGCTACATCTATATCTACACATTCCCCTACATCTATAGGATGGCGAAATGTCAGCGACAGCTACGAGTACCGTCTTCAATACGAGAGTTATTTGGTCTATCTGAAGAATGTTCCCAACCAAACATGCCATAATCTACTGTACTCACCTTTCTAATTGTTAGTTGTGTATGGAGTAAAAAGTGCTGAACTCACGGCTACAAGAGATGTCAGGACATGACAAAAGGATGTTCACTGGGAAATTCAAGGCTGTCGTCTGTTCTAGCCTATAGTAGTGACGTGTGTATGTAAGCACGTAAACGAACAGGCGGGTACATTGTCACAGGACGGACCATCAATTATTCAAGAAGAGCTTTGGGCTGTAATTATCCTATTGTCGCTGTGGTCACCGACGCATAACAGTTCTGTGGTCAGGTCGACCCTCGTTTACGTCATTTACATGCCAACAGTCGAGCTATACACTTAGTATTAAATATGACAGGCGCATGTTATATGTGATCCAGTCATACATTAAGGGATGGCACTACTTGAACTGCAAAATAGCCAAAATATTGGTATATTCAACAAGTGGTGGTTTAATGATAAAACAGACGAATGCATTTGTCCTTAACTAATGTACAAGGACATGCGTGTCTTATTGCATTGATATAGAAGATGAAAGTGCCATAAAAAAGTACCAGTTCACCCGTACGTTAAAAATAACTCTCACGTGCCTTGTTGACGTCAGAACATAACAGTCTGTTGTTGGGCGGTGGTGCGTTTGATCATCACATGCTCTCTATTGTTGTGACTCAGCAGCGTAAGAAAATAATAACCACATCAAATATTAAACGTCTCTAGCAAAAAGAGCTGCATGTGGGTTTACATGTACGTACCGAGGTTAAAGACCATCCACCGTTGATTCTTCTACGTTAGAGTTTGTTGAAACTGCCATCTGGGACCAGCGTTTTAGTGAGTACGTCAACTTTGTTTTCTTTCTGCTGTGAACTGAACAATTCTAGACCTGCAGTTACAGTTGGTGCTTACGATGTTACGATAGCAAACTTGCATAGCACGGTGCGGATGAACAAATATTATAGTCATATCATATTCTTTTTGGCTTACTATTCAGTATTCTGAAAAGCAGGGCACATGAAAGGCAAACCCCGTGTGGTTCTTGTCTATGATACTGTATGTAAAGAATTGTAATATTATCCACGAATAGAGTAGTTTATACGATACACGTACAGTTTGAAGTGGCTATTGTCGGTGTAGAAAAAGAACAATGACAGAAATAATATCTATAATGAATATTGATGTCAGTACAAATATGATATGTCCTCGATTACAGAGCGCATGCGAATTCATTTTGTATGGTGATGTATATGAATATAAGGTATGTAGGAATCAACAAATTATGTACTACAAAGTTATTTTTGTGTAGCTATAGGACACCATGAAGACTTTTCCCGCCATTGTGCTGACGGCCATGACGTTCCTGTGTTTCTATGGCAACGCCAGTGGCCGGTTCGCCTCCCGCCGCCGTGCGTCCACCGTCCGCAGGGCAACAGGTTCTATAGAGTAAGAAGGCTTCGCTAGCCTGGAATCCTGCAATTCTCATGCAATAATCGGATGAATAGAGTGCTTCCATCAAACCACTCGCCCATCAATTTTATCAAATTTATTGTCTTCTGGGAAGTCTTCTGAAAAAGAACATTCAGAGAAAGCATTCCCATATTTTATATCCACCCAGAAAGGGCATATAATCAATTTTGGACATAAACGAAACCAGTATAAGATATATATGGATGAATAGATTAGTTTGATATCTGTGTTATTCTAGTGATCTCCGTGTTGTTCTCCTGTACAGTAGCGGCAGTAGCACCAGCTGCAGTCAGGGCACGTGTGGCGACAGGGTCCTGCTGGACAGCACCGTTCTGGACACAAGCAAGGTAACTGCACGGGCTCAAATTCTCTTTCCAAAAAAGCAAGCTTCATCATAACACTTCTGAATTGTGTAGATATCCATACAGTGCAAGTTGAAATGGTTCGCGATGTAAAGCTGGTCCCTTACTTGTCACTGTCTCCCCTCACAACGACCAGAAGGACCAACATTTTAATAAATAACTGATAATGCAGAAGTCACACAATTATCCACATTTCATTTTCAAAATATATGTAATAGTGTGCTAATTAATATGTGGCTTTAATGAATTATTTAGTCTGTTGATTCACTCCAGCCTGTCCGTTACCTGTCGTGTATTGTGGTTTCACGCGTGGCCCTGTCCTTGGTGCTGAAACGCACATCACGTGGTAACCTGTGGCATTTGGACCAGCCAGCACCGCCAAACACGCGACAAAGTCCTGATTGGGTTTCATCATTGGCCCGATAACATGATTTCACTATAATATTCCATATAAATACTAGTTATTCCTTTATTCATTCACTCATGAATGGAAAAAAGAGAATTTTTTCTATAATCTGCTAACGTAAACAATAGCCTGGGTTGTAACATTACACTCCTGGCTAATCCTTGGTTTACAGAAACTGCAAGGTTCTAGCTACATGTAGAAGTCCATAGTGAACTTTAAAAGTTTGATAAACTTTACCAGGGGACTTTTAAAAAGTGCTCTGATGGCTCACATTGGGGTACTAAAATCTATACATCAGGAATGAAAGATTGGAACATATAGTAAAGCTGTTTTTTTATTTGTTTGTTGTCTCACACAGGTCAACATGACAGCGCTAGTAAACACCACACGTGTGGTCATCTGTACAGGCGTGACATGCGCACTGCCGACTTCAGCCGGCTGTTACAGACAGTACCTGTTCAACAGCACTCTGTTCGACAGTCAGGGTGACATGTAGGTGCCACTCTCTGAACTCGTAATACTACATATGCCAAAGTTCTACGGGCATTCCCACAAGGTGACGATAGATATGGTCAAGAAACTGAAATACATGTAGTTCTACCTACCTACCTACCTACCTAGTCCCATGAACGACACTGGTCGTCAGGGGAACAAGGCAGACTCGGTATCAGAGGTGTAGCCAGCTCTCCCTGTCTTGGGCTTCCTGAAATAGTTCACTTGTAGTTGAAGGTAGAAACCTCATTCTCTCCCGGACGAGAGCTACCTCGCGCCGAATTACGTTGAAATGAAGCTAACGTATCTGCCGTACGCGTGGGATAGCTCTGCCTCAGGAGAATGATATGGTAGAAACCATTGTCCGTAAGAATAGCTCTTGATATCGGTGACACTAACTGTGCCCTTCTGTCTCCTCCAGACCGACTAACAACACTGCGGAACTCACATCTGAGAAGGTTCACGTCTGTAGGTAAGGGGTTCACCTGTCCTTTGGCAGTTGGACAAATAGTGGGGAAAATAGGACCAGAATACTGCAAAGTGTACGAAATTGATTAATTTCAACAGAAAGTAAATGCCTCCGCGTCGCCAAAAAGCATCACACACACACTTCTGAAAACTTTGAATTTGCCTTGCTAAGTGATGCATATATCCTGTTCTTTTGATGATTTGTAGTTCTCACCCGTGGAGAGCGACCTCTGGTGTACCCAAAACCAGGAACAGTATTGGGAAGATCGGCTGGATCATTGCTGGGGCGGTGGTCGGTGCAGTTATTATCGTCGCTTGCGGTTGTATCTTCTGTTCGAAGAAGAAAAAATAAACTGGGCGTCCTGATGCTAGTCGGCTTTAGACATAGGCGGGGACGACGACAATTGCTGTGGTAGAGTAGCCATGTAGCAAAGAAGTGTATTGTCAACCTGACGTTACCGCCTTTCCAACTATGGCGGTGCGACAACTGACTACTGAAAGTCCTATTGATTCACTTCCTGAGAAAGTTGCAGTGTTATGATATAAGAAAAGAGTCCACATATGTATGCCTTTTAAGATTTAATCGTCTGTTGCAATCTTGCATGTTATTTTTCAAGTAAAATCATAGCGACATGTCTAGAAACTGTTGTTAACACAGATTGTATGGAGCAAATAAGATGACATTAAACAAGGTACAAAAAGTCATTTATAAAAATGGCTACAATATTAATAGTCTATAAGTTACATCTCTATAAAATATAGTCGCTGAAATGTAGTCTATGAACAATAGAGTCTATATGCAAAGCAAAGCGTTTACTTGGTAACATTTGCTGAAGATAGTTCTGACTAAACCCGGGCCTGGATGCCAGACCCACAGCTAACTAGACCCAAATTTAACCGTTGTGCACACTGGATAACTTTGGGCCTTGTGCTTAGACTAAATCTGGTTCGATGGTGTTGCGTTAGTCACGGCGGGCCAGCCACATCGCGGCCGCTCCTGCAGCAAGGGCCAGCAGGGTGACCTGCAGGGACGCTGCATGTCGCAAGGTGCCGCAAATGAGCACAGACTCCAGTGTGTTTGAGATACGCCCGACGTAAGGGTCCGCACCGCCGATGCTGCAAGGCAAATATATTCAATCAGTCAACCAGATATATTTCTATTCCAACATTTAATGACAAGACATGCTGACTGCACAGTCAAATTTCACACTCAACTTATTTTTATGCCATCACCAACGCAGAAGACAATAGACACTACTCATTTTCATATACGTTAAGTGAAGAAAGTCGTGTAAAGTGCAGTGCCTTAATTTTAATTTCCCAAGGGCATTTGGACTAACGTTAACAATTGTCAAAGAGTTTTCCCACGCATCCAACACAGAGTACTCCTAGTCTGTGTCTTTCAAACATATCATACAATACACGTAATTGAGCGGTCGTTCTTGAAGAGAGTTAACTGTTGTGCGTCCACGCGTGCGCGTGGCCCTGTCCTTGGTGCTGAAACGCACATCACGTGGTAACCTGTGGCATTTGGACTAACCAGCACCACGAAACACGACAAAGTCTTGCTCGAGTGTAAACATTGACGTGATAACATAGTTTCACGATAATGTCTCATACAAATACATGTACTAGTTATTCATTCATCCATGAATTCAGGAGAGTTTACTTCTGAACTACGTACTTATCGGGGAAGTCCGTGATGGTGCCGTTACTGTACAGGTAGTTGAGTGAACACCTGCCGCCGCTACACGCCGCGCTGCCGCTGCGGCAGATCTTCATGAGCTGGGCGTCCTCGGTACCGTACTGAAGACAGGCAAAGTCCGTTAGTATGTGGGCATGCACTGATTGGGAAGCTAGAGGGCTAGCAGTGCCCTGCCTTTGGCAAACTGAAGGTACCACCCAACCGTTTTTAAGATCAATAAATAAACAAAGAAAGAAAGACAATACGAAATACATGTGTGCTTCACTGAGAGCTTAGCCGTGAAAAGAAATAACTGTCTGTTTCTCTTTTATATGGGTCTTTGACATGAAGCAAAGAATAAAATGAAAATGAAAATAAAAGATGCTGAAGCCAGAGTTTCAGAACGAGTACAAATCGCTTTTAAAAAATCCGGAAACCGTTTTTGAAAGGATTTGCGTATCTACACACGCCTGGTAGATTAACACAAACACAGTACATAATTTGGGGACGTGAAACCGAAACAAGAAGTTAACGTTCCTCAACATGATCTATCAAATGACATGAGTGAAATACATATGCAACATAACCATGTCTACGCACTCAGCAGGCAGTTAGAGTTCAAGTATAGGTCATTTTATCACCCAGCTATGTGTTTATCATGCTTGGCTACATGTACATCGTTGTTAGCAGTTGCAGTCTCCAGAGAAAATGGGTGGAACTCACACGCAGTAATCTGTATTTGTTGGTGACGGGGTCGAAGGAGACATATCCCGGCGTGCATTGCTGGCACTGCTCCTGGTACTGACGGTCGTTGCTCCTGTAACGTCTACTGCGCCTGCGCCGACCGCTACTCCTGTATCATATCAGTAGTCAACAACTATGTGATATGAATAGTCATAATTCTGTTGAAAAAGTTTGCAAGCCAGCTTCAATGTCAACCTTATTGACTAGGCGGTTTCTAAGCTTCAAGCTGACCATGCAGGTATACATAAGTTATATCATAATCTCCATGGTTATATATATTGTAAGGACGTCCAGGGTGTAACGTATCTTTCTTCCTATTTTATGATTCAAAATTCTCTCAAATTCTTCCCTTTACACGTTTTAAGCGTAGTCACATCATTTCACATTTCTTGAAGTTGCTCCGCCAAATAACTGGTGTGTTACACAGAAGGGCGGTTATACCGGCTATACAACTACAGATACAGAAATTCACATTAAAGTCAGATTTATACCCTCGGTATTGATAACCACTAAATGAAACTATACATCAGCATCACAGAGTAGAGAGTGATGTGAATGGTGTAAGACTTACAGCAGGCGAGTTGCGACCAGCCGCACACCAGTCCGCACCACCCTGTTGGTTAGAGACCGCCTGCGGCTGGTACTGGGCACCAGGATCGGCGCCCGGCGGCGGCTGCTGACCACCGCTCGGCGCCGGCCGCTGCTGAAGACGCCGGACGTCCCGTGCCAGTGTACCAACACCACCAACACACACACCACGACCAGCCCCACCGTCACTGGTCTCATTTTGGAGGTCGTTTTTTCAACTCTGCTGATCAGAGAGTAAAGAAAGTGGTTGAACGTGTTATGTTATGTCATGCACGACAGACGGTCAAATATTCTGACACCCCTCCCCCTACTTCGACAGACACAACAAAACTCAAAACTCTGACAGAAACACGACGCCATGTATCTAGAGACATGCCACATTCAAACTTCCTCTTTCTAACTTCCCCCTCCCCTACAGACAGGTCAAAACTACGAAACACTCATCCGCCGGGTTACTTATATCAAGGCGGTTAAATCTAGATTTTTTAAAACCCCCTTGCTTATTTTCGCCATTGTGTGTTTGAAACATCTCTAGATCTAGCACAGCACCCCAGGTATGCACAGTTCAGACATACAGGAGTGTAGACGCGAACGTTACATCGGAGAGCTCTTTTGACGAGGAGGCGAATATATGTGACCTGACGGAACTGCTAGTATGTCATGTCGTCAGTAGACCATATGAATGTACGTATACGTACTTTTAGCAGAAATACTCGCGTATGCAAGGTGGACCCACCGCACTCTAGCCCAACTGCTATCTCACCAAGTGTAAATGTTACTGTTCCCGTTTACTGAACAAAAGTGAAACAACGTGCCAAATATGAATGGCATGGTTCCCGTTGACTTACCTGCTATGTTGACGTGTTTTTATGGGCACGTACTTGCACTTCTGCCCTCTAACACAATGCTTTTGGGCGGGGGCCATGAGTCACCGGTGACTGTAGGCGTGAATGTATGAGCGAGGAAGCCTGCGATGCCTGACCAAATCATGGGGAATTCAGGCTTTTCAAAAACGTCAGACTGTTTCAAAAACTAGTCTTGAACTGGTACTTTTGTTTTGTCAACTCTATACCCCTTTCCGGTCTTGTTGTTTTGTTATGAGGAAACACTACAGGTGCACTGATCTACAGTAAATAGACAAAAGACTCTTCGAGAAACCCAGGTCCTGGTTACACATATATTTCATGATTTCAAATTCATTAGATGCAGTCATTGAACATTGTCATACTTGCATAGGTATGTACATGTAGAACGGGCCAGATTTTAATGGCCTGTCCTTATATAATTACTTGCTTATTACTTGCTCGGTAGAACTAATTATTCCGAAACACCACCACATAGCCTTGGGGTAAAATGTCACAAATTCTTAGTGACGGGTACGTGGTGTCAGGAATGTCTCCATGAACTTGTAACATCTTTGTCCGTCTATGTTTTTACGTGCATTTACATATCATATTATGATATGAAGATCTAAAGGTACTGGAGAATATACTGGGCTGCATAAGCTAGAAAGATGTACATGTGCACTGGTAATGAACGAATGTGGTTCATAAGTATTCTTAAATTCAATACTCTATTACAGTTATCATATTTGAATTTTAAAAATCTTAATTCTAAACAATTGCCATTCGGAGACAGAGCAGGTGGCATATATTCCGTCGTACCTGCATTGTTAACTCTCTAAACTTTTAAGTTTTAAAAAAGGGGAATATTTTTCACTCTCGCTCTATCGAATTGCACAAATTCCACACTGCTCTGTCTCCTTAATACTAATTCTTGAGTATTTATTCTAATCCACCGTTATCTTGTCATTTGTATTGCATCCAAGTGGCTTGAGTGTAACGCTAGTATCTTCTTGATCTATAAGTGATATGGATCATTACAAACTCTCATGATCATGACAATTGATTCAGACAGGAAACGTTTGTTTCCTGGCTAAAAAAATATAAGTAACTGAAAAGCTTAATGATTGTATATGAACCAGCAGGGTTTAACTGTTTTAAGGATTATTTCTCAGGTCCCTCCAATCATTTGCATAACCGTAGCCATGGCGGCGGCCAGTATGGTGACCTGCAGTGTTGGAGCAAGCTGCAAGGTACCGCAGATGAGCACAGACTCGACTTCAGCTGATATGCTGCCCACAGCAGGGTCGGCTCCCCCTACTCTGTAAGCACAAAAATTGGGAAAATAGGAGAGTGTTTTGTTTCGATAGATCGATCAAACAAGTACATTTACGAAGTCTGAATTCGAGATTTTGCAAGGCAAATGCATAATGTTTACCTTCGCATATGGTCTGCTCTGTTAATTCTTACTCAAACACATTCATATATATATGGTCAGACATGAGTCTAAATCCTTCCTGCTATAAAATTGCAACATGATGTAACCCAACACTAGTTACCATGGCGACAGACACAACATTGGTTTAGATCATTGAGGTCACTGTCTGGAGAAGTTTGAAGAAGAGGAAACGTAGCAAAAACAATATGTTTTCCTTCGGTAAAGTTCGGGTAAACACAAATATTTATTCACCCATCCGGGAAGTCTGTGATGGTGTTGTTGGCCCACAGGTAGTTGATGGAGCATGCGCCGTTGTTGCAGGCGGCTGTCCCGTTGCGGCAGATACTGACCTCCTGTGACCCGGGAGAGGTGGAGGTCCCGGTCTGGGGGTGGGGGGTAGGGTGTTGTATGAATAAAACTATGGCATATCTTTGGTGATGGGTACGTTTTACCACTTAATTAATTTCCTATACATCACAGCCGATCAATTAAGACTATAACGATTTTAAGGATATGGACTGGCTGTTGAATCATTGGAGAACGAGGAATTCGGGTTTATCTTACAGGTTGTTGTGTTATGTAGGGTGCTCTCAGTTAAGCCATATTTTTTAATGTCGTCGGGCTACAAAGTAATGGTATCATCCGATGTGCGCTGCGTCTATTCACAAAATTAAAAAAAAAATCTTAAGTTTATATAATTATATGAAAAGACACCGTGCTCTGAATATCCTTAAGTAAATCTAACACAAAACTGAGCAGGACTAGTTTGCTTGAACAGCACGTACCATGAAGTAGGACGTGGTGCTGTCCTGGTAGATGTAGGAGGTTGTACAGCGCTGACACTGCTGTTCACTCAGGAAGCTGCTGGCGCTACTACTAATGCGCCGGCGACGGGACGATGTCCTGGCAAAAACGTTACACGGCACAGTGGGGTCAGTAAACAAACGAACGCACGAACAAACAGACAAAATACAAAGATACAAAGGATGAATGTAGCATGTCTGATGCCTGGCATTTGGAAGTAAAATCAGCAGAAGGTATAATGCCCACGTTTTAATGTATCAAACGTAACGTATTATGAATTTTTGGGGTCTTGTGGCCTAGCGGCAGAGTGCGCGACTCGGAACCAAGAGGTCCCGGGTTCGAGTCCTGACATGCCACCGATCTTGTGCCCTTGGGAAAGGCACTTTACACGACTTTCCTCACTTATCTCAGGTGAAAATGAGTATTGTCCTGTTCCGTATTTGTCCTTTATCTGCGTTGGTGACGGCATAAAATAAGTTGATATAACTTGAGTTTGCCGTCACTATGTCTAGTCATGAAATGTTGGAATAAAAAAAAATCATGAAACATAAATAGTGACAATGACACTGGTTAGTCCGATGTCTACTATCTATTCCGCCTTCAAACGAGTCTGGTGGAGATTACAAGAAAAATCCGAGCTCGCTTACAGTAGCAGAATCGGGACGACCCTGAGGCGGGTAATACTGCTCGATCTCCGGACGCTCCGGAACCGGAACCCACTGCCACCCCGGCCCCTCCGTCCGGATACCCCGTCTAGATACACCGAGGCGACGAGGACGCACGTCCAGAGGAGTCCTGTGGTCGCGAACTTCATGGCTGTTGCAGACAGGATCGTCGAGGTGTCGTCAGGATTTCTTCCTCACGGTATCTGTGTAGTGGAAAGCACTTGAGTGTCGTTATCGCTGTAGCTATATAGTCTTGACTCTTCAATGGCACAAAATTTGGGTGACTCAGTCCGCAAAAAAACTCAATTCTGCGTTACTAAGTCATGAGTGTCACCGGTGCTTTTTGTTGTTTTTTAATTGCTATAAAATTCATGCAAGTTGGTATGACTACAACTTTGTGGTTTTGCACATGCATAGTGTTTTCCACTATATGTGTGTTTTTGTTTCGATGACCGTGAGTAGTGCCGGGAGTCAGGTAAAGGGAGTCAGTGACTTGTTGCTTTTGACTTTGTATGCCACAGGATTACATTATGATCCACATTGTTTTGAGTTTGAATTAACTTCCTGTCGACACCGCCCTCCCCAGCCCAATGGGCATCTTTGTAATGCCTTCTACATTAGGGACCAAGTGAACCGTTAAAAAAAACAAGTTCTACTGCCTAGTACTTGATCAGTGTTCTCAGAACTGTCACGGTGTATAATCTCAAATACAGCTAAGTACATATAGAAAATGTATAGCTTACATTACATGTCCTTTGTTCAAATATGTCTGGAGTTGATAAATATGTTCCGCATTGAGACGTACTCTGTATGATGTCTGTACCCATGTAGACCCGACTAAACATTAGAGCGATGAACCATGAAAGAAAACACGTTCTACAGGACGTTCTCAGAATTGTCATGGTCTACAATTTTAAACACAGCTAAGTACATAATATATATAGAGAGAATGTATAGCGGCTTACACTACTAGTCCATAGTTCAAATGTGACTAGAGTTTAGAAATACAAGTCCCGTAATCAGACTCAATAACATCTCATTTCTGTTATATAATAGCACGACCAGAACACGTTTGAACTATGCTTGCTACAAAACTAAGTTTGGGAGTGCGACTTTCGTACAGCAACAGACCAGCATCGAATTTGTCAGACTACTAGCTATAGGAGCTAGCACAGGGGGGCAACACACTGTCTTACTGCCAGTAAAAACTGATAGTACAAACAGGAAGAATCCAGAACTGAATGGGAACGGTCCAAACTTACCTGTCTGTGTTTTGGTTGCAGTTCTCGTCACGTCTTTCCGCGCCTGTAGACGTGTGACCCCACGGCCAGGTGAAATTACTATACGTCATTCGTTGTCAAGGCAACATGCCGCCTCAGGCCCGGGCATGAAAAGTTTTATCGGTTCAAAACAAGAAGTGAATAATATGTTCTTACAACCTCACTGGCAGGGGGAATTATGCTATTTCGCAACACTAGAGCCTTCCAGCCAACGTATACATGTGCATGTAGTTGTGAGTTTTCGCAGGGCATACACCTATACCGAAAGCTAGTTGATATACTCTATTCTCTGCCAAATACACATGTGCACGGTCAAAGATTGCTATGATATATATATGACACAAGAAAGATGGCTACATTATTTGAATATTACACTTGAATTATAATCTTTGGAGGTAAATGTAGAACAGGCACAGGCCGTATATTTGTGCTCCCTTTATTTGCTTGATAAACAGAACTAAATCATTCAGACTACCACCACATAGCCTGGGGGCAAAATGTCAGAAATACTCAGTGACGGGTACATGTCAGGGAAGTTTCCATATATTCAAGAAGAACTTGTAACATCTGCGTCCGTCTATACATATGTTCATAGAATTCTACATAATCGTGTGATAAAAGTTCTAAAGACAATATACTTTGATGCATGCGTAACTCCAGTAAAGCTAGAAAGCCAACAATATAGTCGAACGTGGACAATAGTTTCTTTAACATTCACTAATTCACTGCTCTGCAATTTAAGATTTATCTTATCATATTTGCGTTTTTAAATCTACATCATTAACAATTGTTGTGCGCAGTCAGGACAGGCTTAAAGTATTTCATCTCATTTGTACTATTGATCCTCTAAACTCTAAAAGAACATTTTTTCACTCGCTTGCTCTATAGAATTGCACAAATTTTCTAATCTACCGTTATGTTGCCGTTTTTGTACCTTTCAAAGTATTTTAGTGACTTGGGTGTAAAGCTAGCTCATGTGTGACTTGTCACAGAGATCTACAAGTAATGTGCATCATTACATACTCTCACTAAATGGTTCAGGCTAAAATTGTTTCCTGACTAAAATAAGCAAATGAAGAGCTTTGTGACTGAACTTGAATCAACAAACAGGGTCTAACTGTTTTCCATGACGATTTCTCAGTCGCCTCCCACCATCCGCATCACCCCAGCCACGGCGACGGCCAGTAAGGTGACCTCCAGCGCGGGAGCGTGCCCCACGGCGCCGCTGCTACTGTAGCTGTTCCGGTACCGGATCGTGCGGAATCCCCGGCGGAATCCGGACGCCTCCTGGACGTGCACCAAGGCGATGAGCAGGCAGACACAGAGGAGTCCCACGGCGAACTTCTTCATTGTTGTCAGTCAAAACAAGACAGGGTCGGGCAGGTGTCGTCGGGGGTTCTTGCTCGGTATCTGTGTCGGGAAAAATCCGCGCTTTAGTCACAATATAAAAACGAAACGGATGCTAAAATAACACAATTCATGGTTATTACTAATGACAATATATAAATCGTGTAAGTCACAGTTTCTTTTTCTTGTTCTTTGCTGCCATGATGTGCGTAGTAGGTTGGCACCTCTACCAACGTCTTATTTTTCGCATCAAACATAGTGCAGTGGTTTTTACTATAGACACATTTTATCTTTCTACGGTTATCAAAACAAAATCTGTCGTATTGTTTTTGACATTGTTTGTCGCAGAATTACATTGTGGTCTGGCGGCTTCAAGTTCATAGCGTATGCTTTCCTGAGCTTGACCATTTACTGTGTGACGACTTACGACACCCTCCTGCCCAAGTCAATGCAATGCAAGAAATCTTGCATAACACTGTCTTTGCCAAAGTAGCCCGACCGACAACATCACATGTGGGACCGGTGAACAATGAAACAATCAAGGTCTACCTGAGTGAAGTACATGTTGAGAATGCATCGCTAACACTATATATGTAGTTTGGCTTTCAAATGTGACGAGACTCCGATCTCCGATCATTATGCGGCTAGAACACGTTTGAGCAATTGTGTCCTTGCTGTGGTGTGGTGCAGAAATTTTGATAAAAAAGGGTCTTGAACATACCTGTACTTTACCTGTAGTAGTAGAGCGATTCTTCCTTCGCAACGTCAGAGTCTTCCGCACAACTTGTTGAAGTGTCGCAGAACGTGGCAAACTTTGGAAGGAACTGGGCGGAGGCGAAGTTGTTGCTCTAAAATGTACCGTGACGGCGCTGCTCTTTTATACTGTTCTTCACCTATTTTTATCCCAATGTATGAGATCATTGCTATCTTGATTAGCCTAAAGCAAAAAAAAAACTGCCTAACCCACTTAACCGGTCAACGACACCCTCGGTAATTATTTGCAAACTCGAAGTCCTTTATAATAACATGAAACATGTAGTCAATTAATTACGTGTACCTTCGCAGGAGTAAACATATTGATTTTTCTCAGTTTCTTCTTCCTCTTCTTCTTCTCCAAAAATATTTGAAAAAAAGCACTAATGATAACATTTGAACTTCTTCATCTTTCTCTTCTGCTTCTTCTTCTTCTTCTCGAAAAATATAAAAAGCACTAATGATAACATTTAAAATTAGGCATGCTGGTAGGCCGGTACATACATGTAAGACGTTGAACCATGGTCATTTGTAGTTCATGAAGTCCAAACAAATTGTTTAGTTGAATTTTCCATATAAAATGGAACAAAAGTCAAAACACAGTACAACACATTTTAGCAGTAATTCGTCTAAGAACATACGAGTGCGTGGATATCAAGCAAAGTTTCTGTGTGTGCTTAATTATCTTGAATGTGCGTAACACAGTTCGCCCGATAGATCAGCATTGTACATGTCACTAAGCCCATTGTTTGCAGAAATGGAAACGTCTTATCTGGATGTATGAGATCATATGGCCTAAAGCAACAAAAAAATGCCCAACCCACTTTAACGGTCAACGACACCAATAGTAATTATGTACAAACTCAAAGCACTTATGGTACATGTAGTCAGAACTCAGAACGGTAGTTGTTTATGAAAGAACAAGACACCACACATTTTATCAGTTTTAAGAACACATGTTCAAGAACATAGGGATGCGTGAATATAATAAAATCAAGGGAAGTACTTAATTATTTTGAATGTGCACGACACAGTTCGCCCGATAGATCAACATCATACACCGTCACGTCACTAGGCCCAACCCTCTTTACCGGTCAACGACACCCATATTAATTATGTGCAGACTCAAACTAATTTGTGCGTAATTATGTCGAATGTGCACGACGCAGTTCGCCCGATAGATCAACATTATAAACTTCAATGGGCCCATTGTGTTCAGGCAGAAATGGAAATTTCTTATCTTGATGTATGAAATCTTTTCTACCTAGATATGGCCTAAAGCAAAAAAGGAAATTACTGCCCAACCCTCTTTACCGGTCGACGACACCTAAACCTAAAGCACTCAGTAAGGTACATGTAGTCAGAACTAATTGTTTATTTGGATCTTCCATGTAAAATGGAAGAACAAAACACGACACATTTTACCAGTAATCCGTTCAAGAACACATGAGTGCGTGAATATGATAAAATCAAGGGAAGGTGCAGTATTACTCGTATCTTGAACTGTGCGCGACACAGTTCGCCCGATAGAACAACATTATACACGTCACTAGCTATCTAGACCCATCCCTCGTCACCGGTCATCGACACCTATAGTAATTATGTACAAACTCAAATCACTTAAGGTACATGTAGTCCAAACTAATTGTTTATTACTCCGTGAAGGAGGTCAGGACCTCCGGACGGAGTGTTGTAATCGGCTGATTTTTCATGTTCGCAGTCAAAACACTGGGTTCTCTTTGTGTAATCGGCACGCAATTTTATACGCCGTCTGCGGGCATGCCCGTGTTGATGCACGAATGTGTATTTTTGCCGTTGCTGCTTTCGCGGTCAATGTAATATCGCAGACGCACCCCTACAATTACGAGGCGAATTGGAATGGTCCAGAAAAACGCGTTGTTTGGAATAGCAGTGGGGGGGGGTAAAAGTTCATGCAGATACGGGGTGGTTTTTATAAGTGGTTCCAGATGTTTTTGCCCATGGTTAAGAGATGCCAAGTTTTTTGGAAGATGTTCGCAGCCAAAACGCATTCTTCCGTACGTCGCATTTCTGTGTAATTTCGCATGTGGTGTTGCATTATGTCCGGGATGATGCACGTCTTTTTATTTTTACCGTAGCTGTTTTGATATTGGAGTAAATGCATATTCTCGAAACATCCCTACTTTTACAATCCTGTGGAATAGGCCGTAGGTTTAGGCAGTTGTCTGGTAGCAGAGGTTCTGTAAGCAGATATCCTGGTTATCTGGCCGGCGGTAGTAACACTCGCGGTGCTTACTGCAACTGTTGCTGGCCTGTTCCAGGCGCGCTTAATTAGGTACAGGCACAGTAAGACGGTGGGGCTGTTGGCTGTCTTTGTTACTAGACACGACCATGATAGTCCGATCTTTATGTGAATGCAATGATTGTGTGTGTGTAATTAAAATGAACTTCGAACTTGAAGCACAGTATCTTTACACGCCCTGGGAGCAGTAATGGATTTAGCTCTTTGTATGTTTTATGCTTGTGACGCGCCCTCATTTTTTTATATTTTTATTCCAACATGTAATCACCAGACGTGGTGACGACACACTCAAGTTTTTTCAACTTATATTAATGCCGCCACCAACACAGGGGACAAATACATGACAGGACAATACTCATTTACACCTGAGCGAAGTGAGGAAAGTCGTGTAAAGTGCCTTTCCCAAGGGCACAAGATCGGTGGCATGTCAGGACTCGAACCCGGTACTCTAAGTTCCGAGTCGCGCACTCTGCCGCTACGCCAGACGACCCCACAATGAATATTGACCCCACAGTGAATTCATGAAATTATAATGTCTGCACAGTAGGTCTGGCGTTGACGCTTGGGATTTTGTTGAAATATATAAAACTTCACGGAGGATTGTCACCTATGGCTTCTTGTTTGGATTTTCAATATGAAAGGAAAGAACAAGACACAACGCATTTTATCAGTAATCCGTTCAAGAACATACGAATGCGTGAATATAATAAAATCAAGGGATGTACTTAATTATATTGAAGACGCACGACACAGTTCGCCCGATAGATCAACATTATAATTTTCACTAGGCCCAATGTGTTGAGGCAGAAATGTCTTATATGGATGTATGAGATCATTTTTATTTAGATATGACCTATGGCGAAAATGAAATACTGCCCAACCCTCTTTACCGGTCAACGACGCCTATACTAATTATGTACAAACTCGAGCTCAAAGCACTTATGGTAGCGTTACATGAATAATTGTTACTTTGGATCTAAAATGGAACAATACAACGCATTTTATCAGTAATCTATTTAATACTCTACAATTTTTATCATATTTGCATTTTTAAAATCTGAATTCTATACAATTGCGATTTGGAGCCAGGGTAGGCTTCATATATTTCGTTTCACTTGAATTGTTGAGTCTTTAAAACTTAAAAAACAAATTGAAATATGTTCAATCGCTTGCTCTATCTAATTGCATGTACAAATCCCACATTGCTCCGCTTCCTCAATACTGATTCTTGGGTGATATATTTATCTATTCTAACCTACTATCACTTTTATTGTATTTTAAATATCCAAGAGGCTTGAATGTAAAACTAATAACCTGTTTATCTATAAGTAATATGGATCAAACTCAGGACAAATGATGCAGGCTGGAAATGTTTCCTGGCTAAAATATATACATATAAGCAAATGAAGAGCTTTATGAATGGACATGAACCAGCAGGGATTGACTGTTTTTGCCTTGATGAAAAATGGAGGTATTGTTTTTGGCGTGTCTGTGTGTGTGTGTGTCTGTGTCTGTGTGTGTTTGTGTTTCCGCACATTTGTAGTCAGCATAACTTCAGAATGCCTCTATGGATTGTGATGATATTTGGTACGTTGCTAGGTCGTAGGAACACAAAGGTCAAGGTCAAATATGGGCCTGGTGGCTGACCTTTGTACATGGAAATCTACATATTTCATGGAGGTATGAAATCTCCGAATTCTTCTTAAGGATTATTTCTCATGTCCCTCCAATCATTTGCATAACCGTAGCCATGGCGACGGCCAGTATGGTGACCTGCAGTTTTGGAGCAAGCTGCAAGGTGCCGCAGATGAGCACAGACTCGACTTGAGCTGATATATAGCCCACAACAGGATCCTCCCCGCCTTTCCTGTAAGCAAAAAAAATATTTAGTTTTTTTTGTATTGTTCGATAAAGCAAGTACTTTTGCGAAGTTCTTATTCGAGATTTTTAAAACTGAATTTTAGAACTTCGAAGTTAGTCCATAATTCGTGCACAAAATGCAACCAAGCGAAGGCTTACACCAAAATCTTCATAAATACAAGAATAAGAAGAAAATCAACAATCCAATCCCCCCCAAGGAAAATGGGTACAGACAAAGTAAGTTGAAAGAAGAATATAAACACGAAGAAAAAACTGTCAATTAAGGTTTACAATAAACATTTTGGGCAATCAACGAATCAAACAAGAACACAAAGAACGCTACAACAAAAACGGGCTGAACTCCGTCAGAGAGAAATAACATCAGTTCTACTCACCCGTCCGGGAAGGCTGTGATGGTGTTGTTGGCCCACAGGTAGTTGATGGAGCATTTGCCCCAGTTGCAGGCGGCTGTCCCCTCGCGGCAGATACTGACCTCATGTGCCCCGGGAGAGTCGAACGTCCCTTTCTGAGGGGGGTGGGGGTGATGGTGGGATGGATAACGTTTCACAATTTTATTCATTTCCTATAGATAGATTACAGCTGACCGAGTAAGACTCTTGCGATTTTAAAGACATCAGTACTAGAACACTGTGCGAGGGAAAAGATACCGAAGTGCACTGGAGGTCAAGGGCTGGCTGTGGCATCATTGGAGAACGAGAAATTCGGTTTTATGTACAGTTTATTTCGTTATGCAGCGTATTCTCAATTTGGCCAAATTCTTGAAGATCATTGTTTCTTGTGAATGTCGATGGGCTACAAAAGGATGCGTAGCATCAGATGTGCGCTACGTGAATCACAAATCGCACATATACTTTACATGAAAAGAGATCTACACTGATTCCTTTAGTATGTATTTAGTATTAGCAGGACTTGTTTGTCTGAACAGTACGTACCATGAAGTAGCCTCTGTTCTGGTAGATGTAGGACGTGGTACAGCGCTGACACTGTTCTCTCTCGAAGCCGCTGGCTGTACTACGCCGGCGTCGGGATGATGACCTGGTTATTACCAGAGAAAACGTTATGGCAAAACAAAACAAAACAAAACAAAACAAAACAAAACAAAACAAAACAAAACAAAACAAAACAAAACAAAACAAAACAAAACAAAACAAAACAAAACAAAACAAAACAAAACAAAACAAAACAAAACAAAACAAAACAAAACAAAACAAAACGTTACAAAGGATGGATGAAGCATGTCTTATTCTTGGCATTTGGAAGTAAAATCAGCTGAATCCAATGTCCACGTTTCATTACATTAATCGTAACTTCTTTGCAATCATGAAACATAGTTTCCACCAGACTCCTTTGTAAATTGAATAAATACATGTAGTAGAAATCTCCGGCAAAACTTGCAGGCAAATTGGCCTCACCATGGTCAGCTAACTCCCATGACCAGTTACATTCCTTTTTAGGTCGATTTCTACTACTTATTTAGCTTGCACAGGATTCTGGTGGAAAATACATGAAAAAAAACGAGATCGCTTACAGTAGCAGGGGTGGGACAAGTCTGGGGCGCTGGATATATCTCCGGCCACTCCAGCCACTCGAGCCACTCGAGCCACTCGAGCTCGACCGATATCGGTAAGTCCGGACGGTCCGGCTGCTCCGGCTGCTCGAGCCCCGGTACCCACCACCGCCTCGGAACCCACCACCGCCGCCGAACCTCCGTCCGGATACCCCGTCTAGGTACACCAAGGCGATGAGCACACATGCCCAGAGGAGTCCTACGGTGGCGATCTTCATGGCTGTTGCAGACAGGACTGGCTAGGTGTCGTCAGGTATCTGTGTAGTGGAAAGCACTTCAGTGTAATTATCGTTACATATATAGTCTTGACACCCACCCACTCATAAACACACACACACACATACACACACACACACACACACACACACACACACACACACACACACACACACTACTACCCAAGTCAATGCAATTAAAAGACATTTGCCAAAGTAGCCCGACTGCAACATTACATGCGGGGTCGATGAACAGTGAAAAAAGTTCTACCGAGGTAATCTAGTACTGTCATTGCATGCCTGAGCGAAGTACATGTTGAGGATGTAGCGCCTACATACTAGTATACAGTCTGTCTTTCAAATGTGACAAAAAGTTGATAAATACAATTAAATTCGCTTGAAGAAGTTCCGATGATTATGTGACCAGAACACGTTGGAGCAATTGTGTCTATGTTGTGGTGTGTGCGTGTAGTGCAGACCGTTCAGAAAAGTCTCGAACATACCTTTACTTGCTGTGTGAGAGTGATTCTTCCTTCGCAACGTCAGAGACTTAGGCACAACTTGGTGAAGTGTCGCAGAACGTGGCAAACTTTGGAAGGAACTGGGCGGAGGCGAAGCTGCTACTCTAAAATGTACCGTGACGGTCGCTCTTTTATACTGTTCTTCACCTATTTTTATCTCAATGTATGAGATCATTTCTCCCTAGATATGCCCTAAAGCAAAACATTGGATCATTTACCGGTCAACGACACCACAGTAATTTTGTACAAACTCAAAGCATGCAGTTCAAAATAATTGTTTGTTTGGATTTTCCATATAAAATGGAAGGACAAACACATTTCATCAGTAACCCACTCAAGAACATACATGAGTGCGTGAATATGATAAAATCAAGGAAAGGTTCAGTATTATCTTGAACGTGCACGACACAGTTCGTCCGATAGATCAACATTATACACGTCATTAGCTATAACGTTAGGCCCAACCCTCTTTACCGGTCATCGACACCCATAGTAATTATGTACAGTCTGAATGCACTTATGGTACGTACATGTAGTCCACACTAATTTTTTTTATTGAAGTAAAACAAAAGAACAAGACACAACATATTTTATCAGTAATCTGTTCAAGAAGTCAAAAGTGCGTGAATATGATAAGATCAAGGGAAGTTTCAGTGTGTACTTATATATAAATCTGCACGACGCAGTTCGCCCGATAGATCAACATTATACACGTCACTGGGCCCATTGTGTTCAGGCAGAAATGGAAACGTCTTATCTGGATGTATGAGATCACTTCTATTTAGATATGGCCTAAAGCAAAAAAAAAAAAAAATCACTGCCCAACCCTTTTTGCCGGTCAACGACACCCATAGTAATTATGTGCAAACTCAAAGCCCTTATGTAAGGTACATGTAGTCAGAACTATTTATAATTGTTTATTTTGGATTTAAGATAGAATAATACACAACGCATTTTATCAGTAAACCCTTGAAGAACACATGAATGCGTGAATATGATAAATCAAGGGAAGCTTTGGTGTGCTTTACTATAATGAAGAACTGCACGTCCGATAGATCAACATTATCACTAGGCCCATTGTGTTCAGGCAGAAATGGGAACTTCTTTATATCTGGATGAGATAATTTCTATCTGGGTAGGGCCTAATGAACAAAAGAAGTATCGCCCAACCTTTTTTATCGGTCAACGACTCCTATATCAATTATATGTACACTCAAAGGACTTATGTTAACGTTACATGTAGAATCGGTAGAATTTTTCCAAAGCTGATTAAATTGATACTATTAGGCTCGTCACGTTGGCGTCGCCAAAAAAGACCAGACTGCAGTTTTCCAGGCATTTTCAAATGAATGAATGAATGAATGAATAGCCTACTGCACATACTATACAATCATCTATAGCTAAACCAAGGACATGCTATTTGATATCAACAATAGCTGTGCTGGTTCTAGTCGTAATTTTATCCATATATTAAAATCCAGAGCATGTAATCCGAGACCTGCTATCCAGTGAACACCCCCCTTATCAAGTGGCACATCCCATCCAGAGGTGAAAGGTTACCCAGTTATTGTGTGCAAGTTTTGTTGTCATCTGGGCCAAAAGTTGGTATTGTATATACATTATCCGTAGTCTGATCGGTACGGTGCTAGGCAAGGGCTAGTTTGTCGACAGATGACACGAAATAATGTATCAGACCTGTTATGTTAGCCTTACTACCAATATATACCCTAAATTTCTAACGTGTACGTTGCCCCCCTCCCCATTTTGTGAGTTTGCGATCCTTGCAAGTGTAGTACTTGATGTTTCTTGCCTTGTATTTGTTTCCTTTGGTATTGAAGTGACGTATGTTGTTATTGGGTAAAGTTTTGATTTGGACTCACAAATACTGCTACCATTTTTTTTGCTATATCTCCGGCACGGTGAGAATTATGATTTTCCTCTAACGTGTCTATAAACCAGTGATGTGTTTTTGCCATGTTGTAGTTTCTGTATGTTCACAGTCATCTCTTGGTGTAATTATTAGTATGTGGATTTTTGTCAGCACCCTGCTTGTTCCCAGAGAAGCCATGCCCTCTCACCACCATAAGAAGAACAGAGACCCCCACAGAAGTAAACATTCACACAGGCACCATGTGACACCCAAACAACAAGACCGTACTGCTAGTACATCTGAGGAGACTAGGGGTGTGGATGATGATGACAACAGCAGCCTGTCAGTAGAGAGAGAAGATACCAGCAGCCTGTCAGGGAACGGGTCAGAGGTCGGCAGTGTTGAATCTAGAGACCAGGTGAGATGGACAAAGAAATAATTAAGAAGCAATATGGTACACTCTCACACACAACTCAGAGATACATTGCCATATGATAGAACTTTGACCTGAATAAGCTATTCATGGATATTGTACTCAGTATAAGTAGGAATTGGTTGATACTACATTGTTTTTCTCATATAAATGTACTCAGCATTACAACAAATTTGGCAGTGTGATTACAAAAGAACATCATCAAATGTGATAACAAGAGGGTTACCAACCTCCACAAACCCTGAAATACTCCACATATGTACTGTGACTATTGAGGTAACATAGAGTACAAGTAACCTTACATCAATGGAAAAAATCCTTGTAGTAAAACTAGAATAGAAGATACCAGTAATGCATGTATTAATTCACAGAAGCAAGCCTTGGATTCTGCCGAGTAGGATAGCTTGCTATTTAATATTTAACACAGATTTCAAAATTGACTGTTGTTTGAATATAGGGAGATGGGGCATCTGCCATTGAGCCCAGCCTGGACAGTGCAGCTGTGAAGTGGGTGGGGCCAGTCAGAGCACCCCTCCTGTCAATCAAGACAGAAATCAACATCCCATTGGTGCTGTTGACTGTTGTTGCCATGGCAACTAGAATGTGGAGACTGGAGTATCCCAACAGTGTGGTGTAAGGCTTCAATTTAAATACATTTTGTAAACTACATGTATAATCCAATGTGTCATGTTCTCAGATTATAGAATGTGTCCTGTTGTGGAAGTTAATGTTTTCCTTTGATCAATGAATTTAGAAATTCTTACTCAATTGCTACTTTTGCTATCTGTACAATAGTATGCAGTAGTTGTTTGTTCTACTCCCTAATTTGAATTTAAACACATATAAAAAACCTAAGCATGTCTCATTAGACTTCATGATAGCTCACTGTCAAACTCACATAAACATTGCTATGGTTATGTGAGAAATTTGGAAAGAAGCAATATGTGTAAGTTACACATATTGCTTCTTTCCAAATTTCTGTATACAAGTCTAATATTCTACATCAGAGAGATCTCAGTAATGTAAGTATGGGTTTCCGTTTCCCTCTGCAGGTTTGATGAGATGCACTTTGGCAGGTTTGCCAGCATGTACATCAGGAGAACATTCTTCTTCGATGTCCACCCTCCATTAGGGAAACTCATCATTGCTTTTGGAGGTAAAGGAAAATTCTGCTGACATATGTTAGGATCCTGCAAAGTCACCAATATAACAGTTCACATTTGATTGAACAGTGAAAGTCATTTTGAAGGTAACCTTAATGTTAATCAACATATCCCGAGCTGTTGTAGATGTCAGTGAATAAACATTTGTTGTCATTTTCCAGCCTACCTCGGTGACTTCAGTGGGAATTTCACCTGGGAGAGAATAGGAGCAGGTGAGACTATGTTCTTTAAATTGCCATTCACTACAGCAGTTTATCAAGTGGTTGTATTTCTCTGGACAAGTGTTATGTCACCATAAACACCTTAGGGCAGGTCAATAACCCTCAATTCTTATGAGTTACAGGTAGAATAGTTGCAATGCTATTGTGGAAGAAAGGTTACTTTCAGCTGATGTATTGCAGGTAATAATTTCAGTTTAAAAGTTAGTCTAACTTCTTTTACATTCCGCCTGTTCCTAGACTACCCGTCGGCTGTCCCAGTGTGGTACCTGCGACTGTTCCCTGCCTTGTTTGGTAGTCTGCTGGTACCGCTGACCTACCAGACCACAGTAGAACTGGGGTACAACCACTGGACGGCTACCCTGGCTGGGGGCATGGTGCTGTTTGGTTAGTGTGTGTACATGTATTTTCTGTGTGCTCAAAATACATCAGACTAGTCAACAGCATGTCTACATATCTTAATAGATTAGAATATCATGTTTAGACCACTAGTTAGTTGATTGGTTTAATTCTGAAGAAAACTTCAGCAAGACTGTTGGAAATTCAATGTGCTATCTTTTGTGTTGGAATAGAGTTTTAGTTAAGGGTTAAATTTACGTATCTCATTTCAGAAAACAGTCTGGTAACCCAGAGCAGGTTCCTGTTGATAGACAGTTTCCTACTCTTCTTCATCCTGGCCACTCTGCTGTGTCTGCTCAAGTTCTGGAGACTCAAACATAGGTGCAGTTTAACATTCTTCTAATTATGTGGTTTGATATCAGAAAATGCAAGTAGGTTTGAATGTTCTGCATGCTTTTAATAGAGGATAAACATTGGATGTAGCTTGGGCTTATTATTTGTGTCATTGATTTTAATGTAACATACATGTAGATACAGTATCATTTTCCCCTCAGATTCTGAATAAGAGTGCTATGGTAAATATAATGTCTCTGTGTTTCAGTCCCTTTTCTCCATCATGGTGGGCCTGGTTGGCTGGAACTGGTGCCATGTTAGCCTGTGCCTGCAGGTAGGAACTATAGTCACTATAGTGTATTTCTGTAAGGGAGAAATAACTTGCAAATAAAATGCAAAATAACATCAATATGGATTGGATACTAGTGAAATTTTGAATCATACAAAAGTTTTTTTCTTAAGGTTTTCTGTGATGTTTCCATTATCGAATATCACCATATATTGAAATATCCTTCCCTTTCCCACAGTGTGAAGTATGTGGGTGTCTTCACTGTCCTGTTAGTCGGGGGGATGATCTTTCATGAACTCTGGACTTTGATAGGAGACAAGAGGCTGACAGTGGTAAGATCTCTTCATACAAAGCTTAGATTAGGTGAAATTCCATCCAATCTCATTCTTCATCATCATCATCATCATCCATCATCCCTGTTGGGCGGGATAAGTTGCTGCACTACCATACTTCAAAAAGAGTTCATCTCAAAAGCTCCCCAGAGTAGCTAGCATTTTGTTGTGTTTATCATTTGAAATATTCGTCAAAAGTAATTTACTATACCCTTGTTTCTGCTGAGTATAGCATGACCTTACGTCCCATTTCCTGGCGCGTGCTGGCCTGCTGGCTGTCCTCCCTGTGCTGCTGTACCTCCTGCTGTTTAACCTCCACCTGGAGCTGGCCAACAGGAGCGGGCCTCACGATGAGATGATGACGAGTGCCTTCCAGGCTACATTAGAGGTACTAAGCTTTCAAACTTTTTTTTTTCAAAGAAAAGAAATTTAACATGTTGTGCAGGATGTGGTTTTATGATGGGTATCCAGAGACAGTATTCAATTGCAGGCATCCACCATTGACTAATTACTTTTGGGTATGGAAGTATTGTTTTGAGTGGCTTTGAGTTAATGTGCATTGTGTCTGGACAAACAAACAAACTAACAAACAAACAAAATAACAAACAAACGAACACCACATGCAACTAGCTACCAGTTTTGTGGTCAGGCTTTAGCAACCACAAAAATTCATCCGTATCTGGGCGTCACGCTGACAAGCGGACTGAAGTGGGGTACACATGTTAATAATATCACAACTAAGGCGAAACAGACATTGGGAGTGATTAAACGTAATCTGTGGGCATGTCCAACTAGAGTAAAATCACTTGCATACACGTCACTTGTAAGACCGAACCTAGAATACGCTGCGACAGTATGGGATCCATATACAAAGAAAGACAAAGACAAATTGGAAAGGGTACAGAATCAAGCTGCAAGATTCTGTATGAACAACTATGTAAGAGGTGCTAGTGTCACGGAAATGAAAAGAAACCTACAGTGGACTTCACTGGAAGACAGAAGAAAGATGTCTAGACTATGCATGATGTACAAAATGACTAATAAACTGGTGGATGTCCCAACTACTAAGTACCTAATACCAGCCCAGAAGAGAACAAGAAATAGCCACGCATTCAAGTACCAGAGTTATCAACCAAGGATTGAGGTGTTCAAGAATTCATTCTTTCCTAGAACTATCGCAGAGTGGAACTCACTGTCACCAAGTACAGTAGGGGCATTGTCAATAGATAGCTTTAAACAATGTCTAGAGCTAGAAGTTCAAGGGTTAGGTGTAACAAGTCGATCGGTGTAATATAGCCAGCTGCCGCCGCGCCGCGTGCCTGCGAAGCTGGTGTGTTACGCCGAAAGGCGGTTATACCGGCTATACAGATACAGATACAGATACAGACAGGTCTAGAGTAGGTTGGCAGTTAAGATTGATTGGTAACTAGACAGGAAGTCTGAAAGGGTCAGATAAAGGAAATGCACGGGACAAGAAAGACACAGAATTTGGCTGATAGCCAGCAGGAACTAGTCCTGAATAAAAACAATCTCTTTGGTTGTTACAATAAATTCATGCAAACACCAAATACTTCCCAGAAGTGTGAAATCTCTAATTTCTTATTGTCTTTGTAACTGGAAATAATTGCCATGCTGCTCTTGTACAGTTTGTATAGGCACAGTAGGAAAGATTAACAATAACATGCACAAATTGTCATGCAATACAAACTTCACATCTCCCCAGGGTGGTTTATCGAGAATAACCAAGAGCCAGCCCGTCAGTATAGCGTACGGTTCCCAGATCACGTTACGCCACACCCACGGGATGTTCCTGGGCCGGCCCTGCTGGCTCCACTCCCACCTCTCCACCTACCCCGTCCGTTACCATGACAACCGAGGCAGCTCCGCCCAGCAGCAGGTCACATGTTACAGCTTCAAGGACATCAACAACTGGTGGATCGTCAAGGACCCACGCAGGTGGGTGGAGGAGTTTTTCACTGAATAGTTCTCTATTGAACTAAAATTGTTGTATTCTCATTATATAATACGTACAGTATCTAAAGGGTTCTTTGAATTTGGAGTTCCTAGTATGCTTCAAAGAAAATGTACAAAATGTTTACCTCCCTTCCTAGTCCTTGCTTCAAATAAATGCTGATTTCTTTCAATCTTTTACTCAGTGAAATCTAGTTCATTGTTAACTAATATAGATTATACCCATTTTTCAGTGCACATTGTTATACATGTAGTTGTCATATCATTGTTGATAACCTCTGTATTTTGTTAAGAATTTTGTGTTTTTTGTTCCCTCAGAACGACCCTGTATGTGGACGACCCTCCCAAGCTGATCCACCATGGTGACATCATACAGCTGGTACATGGGACGTCCTCCAGGGCTCTCAACAGGTGAACTACAATGTAGCTCTCCCATCATGGCACAATGCTTGTTTCCAAGGGATAGATTTCATTATAACCTTAATGATATCACAAGATGTAGGCTGCTTCATCCACACACAGAAGCAGAAAAGAATGGATGAAAAGAATGAATGAATCAGAGATCAATTTTCAAATTGTTTTCATGCAATTGTCACCAAGTGAAAGTCTGTTATTTGCCCCTTCCCCCCTGTAGTCACAATGTGGCAGCCCCCGTGTCACCCTACAGTCAGGAGGTCACATGTTACATTGACTACAACATCAGCCTACCTGCACAGAATCTGTGGAGAGTGGTGAGTTTTACAGTTTTTATTTTCATTGTGTGCACCGCTACATGACACTTGCTAATCCATCCCTAATATAATTGTGCCTTTCTGCTTTAGGAGTTAGTGGACAGTGCAGATGAAGGTGACACCTGGAAAAGTATCCAGTCTCACATCAGGCTGGTTCATGTCAACACAACTGCAGCACTCAAGGTACAGGCTGTGGGAGGCTTGAATGTCCCAGTATATTGTTTGTACATATATAAGTCAGACAAAAGTATTCAGTAGCAAGCTTTAGAAGTACAGAGATTTGATAGGTAAAAAGATACAGGTAGCCATAGCCTTGAGGGGCAGTGGCTTGTTGATTAACTGTGCTTAGGGCATGTTATCCCTCTCCTTCCACTTCCACAACTGAATTCAGGTACCCATTTTACATCGGGTAGGGGGAGGAAAGGGCACTGTGACATCATCTAGGCAAGAATGTCAGGGATTGAACCCATTCTCTCAATCTCGTGTCTGCTAGCCTAGCTGCTCATCAGCCATTTGATACCATGAAGATAGAAAAGATTGTACTAACCACATAGCTTCCCTGTGCAGGTGAGTGGACTACAGTTACCAGACTGGGGGTTCCACCAGCTGGAGGTGGTGTCTGACAGGCTCATCCAGCAGGACGCTACTGTCTGGAACGTGGAGGAACACAAGTACACACAAGGTGGGGGGAAACATGTAGGAAGATTGTACCAATTGTACATGTACCAAGCCAATCAGTTATTTTTTTCCAACACGAAAAGAAGGGTATTTGATGTTATGTTAGGTACCAACACAGATGGACTTTCATACAAATTTAGTCTTCTTCCTGCTGTTTAACCCTAGACGTGGTAGCCAAATGGCTGCTTCAGTGTGCTAAACTTTCCATTTATTGCCATATGAAAACATGTGATTTTGACTATAACAGTGAAGTACATGGGAAGGTTGCTTCTTTTTAAAACTTTTTGTGGTTCGTGCAATGTTACACAGTCATACAGTATTGTTTCATATTTTATTCTATTCAATATAGCATAAGTTACATCATGTTCTTTAGCCATAGAAGTAACATAATTGAGGTTACTGTGTACTCCTCTACAGTGGATCAGGCAGATGTTGTTGGCAACAATGAAGAGACGTTTAATCAGGCGACATATGAGGACACCATGGACGACCAGCCCCTCATGGGCTTCCTGGGGAAGTTTGCAGAACTGCAGGTTTGAACACAATACAGCTGAAGTGTGATACTTCTGGCAACGAGTCAGGACAATTATACATGTAGTTTGTTGGTACTGTCTGTAGTTTAGACGAAGCATCTTAGAATGTCGGCAGAATGTAATGTGAAAAAACATGTTTTCTGATGGATGACTGGCCAGCGCTGCATTAGAAGTTTGTCCATTGCAGACGATATCTTTATATCTTTTCTAACACGACATTTGAAAAGTTTATTATAACTTGTAATTTGTATTTTAGAAAATATTGTTACAAAGATATCAGCACACTTGTGATATAAAATGTTTCTTTATACATTCAATGTTCAATATTTTTAGTAGTTCTTTATGCAGTTTTAAATGAGAAATGTATGTTTATTGTAGTGGAAAATGCTGTCTACCAACAAGGAGCTTCAGCAGGAACACAAGTACTCATCCAGCCCTGCAGAATGGCCGCTCATGGAGAGGGGCGTGGCCTACTGGCTACATCCTAGAACTAATGTAGGAAAACCCTTACACTACACATGTGACATTAGTGTTGTGTACCTAAATGTAACATCATGTTCAGGTACTGGTGCAGATCGATATAGAGGTTAGGTATAAATCCAGATTTCCAATCAAAGATTGTTGCCCATACAGTGTTTTCGTCTTTTTCCGGTGCATGTTTGTGGATCAACACATTGCTAGTAAGTCATATAAGTCAAAAGTCAATAATAAGTCAAAAAGCTATATAAATAAAAGTATAAATTTGATCTGAATATGAACACATACATGTTGTATAAGGGCAGTATCTATTTTGCAGTTTGACTTGATGACTGTTTGTTCCGCTCCCATTGTAGGCACAGATCCATTTCATGGGGAACCCTCTGGTGTGGTGGTCTGGAGTGGTGGGAATTCTGGGATACGTGGCTCTGCTGGGGGTATTTCTGGTGCGCAGGAGGAGGGCGTGTTTCGACATGGACGATGGTGAGATCTTCATTCTAGTCATACATGTTGGGAATGGTTACACTGTGTTAAGATAGACACTGTTACAGTAACATAGTCCACCATGTTAGAATTTGCCATACCCTGTGTCTTGTGCAAATGTTGTGCAATAAAGGTCTTATCATTGTGAACTTGTAATTTCTGATGTGGCATATTTTTCTCTTAGCATGTAATCAGTAGTCTACCAATCCCCAAGACAGCTGGGAGAAGGTTGAATAGATCATTTTTTTTATTGTTGTATTGTACACTACAGCTTGCATTTGATTCATGTTGTATTCATCTTTAATTGGCAATACTACAATAAGGCTCATGATCATGACATACCGGTCATAGTAGAAAGAAAAGTGAATAAAGTTCTTGTGTTCCTCCTCTTGTAGAGTCCTGGCAGAGGTACATCCTTACAGGAGAGTTAGTGCTGGGTGGCTGGGTGCTGCATTATGTACCATTCTTCCTCATGGAGAGAACACTGTTCCTGCACCACTACCTCCCTGCACTGGTCTTCAAAATACTCCTACTCGCTGTCATGGTAGAAAACATCCACACACATGTACTCAGGTCAGTGGGCATTTCACTTGTGGTAGAATGAGTGTTATTTTACAGTTATTATTTTGGCAGAACATGAGTAAAGTTTGAACATTAGTTCTAGGTTTTGGGGGTAACTGACATTTCTGTATGAGTTTGCATTTTTTCCCGTCTGGTAAGAAAAAAAATATGTGTAGTTAAGAATGTGTATGTACAACAGAGTGCTTGTATTATATTTGTGTAACAAGAGTGTGTAACAAGACTATAATAACAGATGATAAAAATTTTATTAGCTATTTCCGTACACAAAGTGAAGTGTTTACCAAAAAGTTTTTTATCAGTCCTCTAATCTTTGTCAAGCTGAAATGGCCCAATGTCTAGACTATGTCTATGTCATGTGACCTGATTGGAAGTGTGATGTTATATCAGTTCAACGATGATTATATTTCACTCCATACTATGGTATGAATGAAATATATTATTTTTTCTGTTTTTTTTTTCCAGATGGCCTGTCCACAGACATGTCTTCTCAGCCCTCTGTGCTGTCTGGGTCACTTGTATATACTTCACATACAGGAAATTTGCCCCACTGACTTATGGGAACTCTGACCTGTCAGCTGATGAGGTCACCGACCTCAAGTGGTTGGAATCATGGGATTTACTCATCCAAGTTTTATGAGGAATGTACCAAGGTGGAAAGAAAAGGGGGTTTCTCAATCCTGTTCTTTAAAAGATGAATACAACAACTTAAAGACACAATTGTACTTGTTGCTTGTAAATTTCTTAATTAAGATGTAACGTATTTGATACGGCTGTAGCTGCCTCAAACAAGTGTAAAATATCTTGACAAGTGTTTTAAATATTCTATTTATGCAAGGTCTATATGTACTAGCATGAGTTGCAATACATGTGCAAATACAAAGTAAGAAAGTGAAAAATCATGTTTTAAGCCCTCATAGCTATTTTAACAGACCCCAAAAGTACTGACACATAATGTTATAGAACTTGTTGAAAGACATTAGTAACAACATATAAGGTGTATTTGTTGCTTACCTTTCTAATGTTTGAATTTGGCAGGCATATGAGATGTATTTTATAATAAATATTCTGCAGCACAGTGAGTGATCAATAGCAATGTTTATTCTGATTACATAATAGTTACTGTAATACCTCTACCATGAGTGTGTTTTGCTCTGGTTTGAACTTTGAACACCAACGCACAAATTCACATACAGTCTTTGTTCTTGCCCGATTGATGTCTTTTGTAATATCTTCGTCAGAGCTCTAGGTGACAAATTGTTCCCTGTGCCCACTGAAATTTCCCTTTGTCCCTTTTATATTGGGACCTGTCAAAAGTCTAACCTAACTCACGGGACCTGTCGTGTACACACGGTGTAAAGTGGTGTGCCTGCATGTCAGTAAGTCGACCTTTTGTCCAGGTAATTATGTTTACCTTCAACTGTACTTTCACCCCAACTGTGTCAGAGCCTAGTACATTATGTTTACCCACACTTTTTAATAGGCCGTCGCGACACTGGGTAGGTCGGGACTCCAACAAGGCTCCTGTTGAGCCAAACTTTTCTTCCAGGTTGTTTTAAGGTCACCAAAAACTTTCGCCATGCTACCATTCGACGAGATCCTGACCCGGTATCTGGGGGAGCTGGGCTGGTACCAGTGGTGGGTGCTGTTCCTGATGTGCTACGCCGAGATGCCGGTGGGTTTTCACCAGCTCGTGGCTAACTTCCTCGCCGCGTCCCCCTCCCACCACTGCTCGGTACCAGGGCTGCAGACCTGGCGGGAGTGTCGGCCGATTCCTGCCGCTTTGAACATGAGTGTTCCCTGGACTGCGCTGGACGGCGGAGGCAGCGGTTATAGTCAGTGTCTCAGGTGGGCGTGAACTGTGTGTACATTCTGTTGTAAAGATAAAGTCCACTATTATATGCTATAAATGGCAAAGTAATTACAGCCGGGCTGTTCTGATTTGCGTTAACGAAAAATTAGCAATTTATATCAAGAGTATACAAAAATAGTGCTCAGGGTTATTTTTTTTTTAATTTTGGTTTTGTTTTCATACTTTTTGTCTCTCGCAAACTGTCCGCTAACTGATCTTAGCATAAGATAGAAGATATAGCCAGTAATACTGACAGCGTCACGTTTCAACAGCAGCATAAGCAAACACTCCAGATTCTGCAGCTGGGCTAGCTACATACTTTACGAAGATAAATATATAATTTAATACTTTTAAGTACATTTGTGGGTTTTGCGATCAGGTACGACCTCCCCGAGGGAAGCTTCAACGTAAGTTCCACGGAGTTCTGGCAGACCCACTCCCCCGAGAGTCTGTCAGCCGGCGGGACCCTCAGCTGTGACCGGGGCTGGGAGTACGACTGTGAAACCTTCACTTCTACTATTGTCACGGAGGTAAATAAAGTCATAGCTGCACGATTAGCTTCTAGGTAGAGCCATTGGAAGTACAGATATTTTAAAGATTGGCCGTTAGTCTCATGGAAATAACGCAGGAAGCATGGGAATAGTCTTTTCAATTGCGTCTCGAGCTGGCAAGAATGTACCTTTACCTTAATCTTTCCCAAACGTTCATCCCATGCGACAAAAAACTAAATGTCTACCGAAATATACCACCACTACATACGTTCAATACAAAACCGCCATTCATATATAGCTGTACAAACAACAATGCAGACTTAACATTGCACAAATAGGCTTTGCTATCAAGCAATATTGACGCGAAGCCAGTCTATTTGTCCATCAGCTCTGACGAATTGGAAAATAAAGAACGGCTGAAGTGTTGTTGATTTTTTTTCTTCCCCGTAGTGGGATCTAGTGTGCAGTAACAAAGGTGTACGGCAACTGACCACATCCCTGTACATGGTGGGGGTGGCGCTGGGGGCTCTGGGGTTTGGAGACTTGTCTGACAGGTGAGCAGCTTCCAAATGTCCTGTCAGGGTACAGAATCATTATCAGTTGTCGCCCACTGACCTATATTAATAATTACGTGCAAAGTCTATTCTTTCGGCACATATTAAATCTTTGTTTAAATATTCATTTTCTTTCCTGGTGTGTACCTTTACAAACATGATTTTAGGTATGCTTAAAGATAGGGTTTCTTGTGCATAAGATAGGATTCTTGTGCTTAACGATAGGATTTCATCTGCTTTAAGATAGGATTTTATACTTTTCTAACACATATTAGATGAACATAATTGTCTATTTATCAGGATCGGTCGCCGCTGGGCCTACCTCCTGTCACTGGCCATCCAGTTTGCGTTTGGCGCGGCCACGGCGTTCTCTCCTAACGTGGTTCTGTTCATCATCTTCCGCATGTTCGTGGGCGCGGCAACGTCGGGCGTCGTCAACACGTCAGCGGTCATGGGTTAGTTCTATCGCCGGTTATCGTCCTAAAATGTATCTGTATCCGTACAACCAGTATAACCGCACTTCGGAGTATAAGCACACCAGCTTCGCAGAGGGAAAACATACTAAGCGGTTTTGCTATGTATCCTCTTCTTCTTCTTCTTCAAACACTCAAGGCAATGACCTGGACCAGACGTCTGCCGCCATGGTATAAGGTACTCTAGTAGACACCCTGTGATAGGTTACATTATGTAGCAGGACGTCATAGATCTAGAGCTGTAGGGGCTGGTCTCCATATGATAGTATGTAAATGTGTTTGAGTAAGAATGAACAGAGCAGTAGTTTGTTAGGCCACGTGAAGGTGAACATTATGCATTTGCTTTGCAAATGTTACCTTTCTAGTCACACATATCGTCATCCAGTAATCTCCAAGCAGATTCTGTGGGGCAACGGTAGATTCTGTGGCTTCCTGTAACCGTTGATGGTCCCAAACCAGGCGGTGGTAAACTCCTGCCTCAAACTGCTCACCTACTTGAGCCTTGAAGCCTTCTGTTCTGCGGCAGATTGGTGAGGCAGCTAATGGTTACATTACGCAAAGGGATACAGGCGGCCAATAGATAGCCTGAGTGCCAGCCTTGTTAGCTTTCGTCCACTCCCCAAGATTCGCTTGTTGGTGGGGAGCGGATCTTAGGGAGCGGACGAAAGCTGACACTCAGGCTACCCAATAGAGACTCCCCTTAAGCTTGTCCCACAAAATCTGCTTGGAGATTACATCCAACATTTTTCCCCTCGGCAGTTGCGGAGTTTGTAGGCCCCAGTGAGCGGGTGAAGGTGGGCGTGTTGCGGCCCGTGTTCTTCTCGGTGGGCGCCATGATCCTGGCCGGCATCGCGTTCGGCGTCCGGGACTGGAGAGCCCTGCAACTCGCCATCTCCCTACCAAACCTGCTCTTCATTCCGTTCTACTGGTCAGTCTGCCAGAGAAATAATTTAACTGTTTAACTGTTTTTTTAAATCTCTAGAATATAGGAACTCTCTTCTTGCACAACTTTCCTAATTCAATTTTATTGGTCGACATTACTGAAAAAAAAAACTGTTTGAAATCTAGGATATAGGAATTTTCTTCTCACAACCAGTAATGTCCTCGATGCCTGCCAGACGCCAGACAGGGCTTCTGACTGGAGTGCTGCTTCTCGCCGCTTTATGTTTGAAATAAACTTCAAACTACAAAATGCACCAATAATTGAACAGGTTACTCAACTAATATCATCCTCACCATAACGATGATCATCAATTTTATCATTGCGCATGGAAAAAACAGTCGACACAATGACTATTATTGAACTATATGCGACGTGGTCACTAGAACGGTAGATGTGTTAACGAAACAACTCCAAGATCAAAAAATGGTTAGACTTGTATCACTCATGGTCATAGGTGGTGCCCAGAGAGTCCAAGATGGCTGCTGTCACGTGACAAAGAGAAGGCCAAAGCACTGATACAGAAAATGGCGAAGATGAACAGAGTTGACCTGCCTGATCACGTGTTCGCAGACGATCCAACCGAAGCCGATGACACAAGGGTATGCGTAAGCTAAGAAGAAGACCTTCATTGCACGACAATTGCACACGGCAATGTACGACAAAACATATGAACAAAGTACAAAAAAATATAGAATAAGAATCCTAATGACTCAAACAACAAGGGGTAGCACAAGTCGATCTGTCTTTGATAGAGTGTTACAATCGAGTGGGGCTAATCACGAGTTTCGGTATTTTTTTCTAATAACAAAGCAGTCTTTTATATCAAGATTCTACTCATGCAAAATATGATTAATTCCTACTCTTACAATGGCATCTATTTGACACCTGGAGTGACCGTGAATGTTGTTCTTAGACGGAGACTGACGAGAAAAAGAAAGACGGGAAAGAAAAAGAAGAAACGCACAGAAGTTACACATTTTTGGACATTCTGCGGACGCCCAACACACGGAAAAGAAGTCTCATCATATTCTTCATATGGTACAAACATCTATACATCTCTATTTCCTCAACAGCGTAGCATCATGATGTAGTAATCACCTTTACATGTTCGTTCGACTTTATCGGCATCAAACTATGAGGTCAACTTCGAATATTCAAGGATATGAAACCTACAGTGGACCTCACTTGAAGACAGAAGAAAGATGTCTAGACTATGCATGATGTACAAAATGACTAATAAACTGGTGGATGTCCCAACTACTAAGTACCTAATACCAGCCCAGAAGAGAACAAGAAATAGCCACGCATTCAAGTACCAGAGTTATCAACCAAGGATTGAGGTGTTCAAGAATTCATTCTTTCCTAGAACTATCGCAGAGTGGAACTCACTGTCACCAAGTACAGTAGGGGCACTGTCAATAGATAGCTTTAAACAATGTCTAGAGCTAGAAGTTCAAGGGTTAGGTGTAACAAGTCGATCGGTGTAATATAGCCAGCTGCCGCCGCGCCGCGTGCCTGCGAAGCTGGTGTGTTACGCCGAAAGGCGGTTATACCGGCTATACAGATACAGATACAGATACAGATACAGATATGTCGTGAAGCTACTTACTGTATGTTTTGTTATGCTACGTTCAGTGATTTTACAATCGTTTAAAATATTTCACTCTGGCGGCGTTATACTCTTTATACATGTAGGTACGGATGTGAAAAGTTGGATTGAAGAAAACACCACACTACGAAGTGTTATGTTGTGTCCTTGCATACCACATTGAGTGTGAGGTGATATCTGTGTGAATGTCTTTTCTCCCTGCCAGGTTTACCAACAACATTGTTTACTACGGCATCGCCCTGAACATTACGGACCTGAGCGGGAGTGTTTACGCCAACTCTCTCCTAGGGGCTGCTGTGGAGGTTCCCGCGTACTTGACTCTTCTGTTCCTGCAAGAACGGTGAGCTACCACAAATATAGTAGAGTGACTGTCTACAAATTTGTTAACATTTTTCATAAAGAATTCTATCGATGTCATTAATTTGAATCATCTATTGGTTTCCGTCAGGTTTGGGCGGAAGCTGCCAGTCTTTGCGTACCTCCTGCTGACCGGTATTGGTCTCATCATCACAGCAGCTTTGCCTGCCGGTAAGTCACATATTCATACGTGCAACTGTGCAACTGACTTTGTCTTTGGGAAACAGTCTTTACGGACCGCATGACAGCAACTCCTTAACACAGTACCTTACAATAATTTGATATTTCATAATTTGCCACTGCAATGGAATTCCATTAGCATGGGTACCATCCTGGTTAGTTTACTTTAAGCTGATGTTTCCCTCTCCTTGGTGCTGATTAAGTAGTTTGCCAATGCACAGTCGCTACTGGTTGGTCGGTAGCGACTGTGTGAGCAGACGTAAACTAACCATGATGGTATCCAGTCTAGAATTCCATGGGATAGAAGCAAGATATACATTGACTCACAAATTACTATTGTTTTTTGCAGGTCCCGGCCGTGTAGCAGTAGCCATGATCTCCAGGTTCTGTATCACCGGCGGCTTCCAGAGCACCATGATCTACACTGTGGAGCTGTTTCCTACAGTCACACGGTCAGGAACAACTTCATATACACAGTAACGTACCGTAGCGGAAAAAATTTACTGTACTTTACTAATTTTACGTTTGTGACCTCTGTAATATTGCGGCAGCGACACCTACCTGCAGTACGAATCAGAACCAGTCATTGTTGCCCTGAAGAAGGTGACAGGCGGTCACTGAGACGCGTCCGATGTGAAAACATCTGGTTAAAGAACCTCGTTTAATTCTTATACAAATTTGACCGGTGTTTTCTTACATCATAACTAAACGCAGCCTGAACATTCAAACGAAAAATCAACAGCTTATTTGATCAAATACGAGACACATCATACCAACGGTCCAACTGAATTCATGATCACACCTGTATCTTTTCTGATGGTTCTCCTCCCCAGAAACATAGGCATGGGGTTCTCGTCCACGGCAGGAAGGATAGGATCCATCGTGTCTCCGTTCGTATGGCTGTTGGCTGACCTGTGGCGGCCCGCGCCGTACATCCTGTTCGGCGTGATGACGGTTCTGGCCGGGCTGCTCTGCATGCTGCTGCCCGAGACCAAGGGCCAACAGCTGCCGCAGACACTGGAGGACGGGGAGGAGTTCGGGAAAGGGTGAGATAGGAATCGCTTTTTTTTTGTTCTTGTTCTTGTGCTCTTGTGACGTTAGAAAGGTGGTGGCTTCCGTCAAGCATGTCCAAAAGAATGTTAAGTCCACTAGATACAGAGCCCATCATCCAAAACCATATCCAGTTGTAACTGCTTTGTGGCGTATCGTATTACCTGGATGTCTAACCTTAATCAACGTAGAGCCCATCTTCATTTGTGTTGAACTCATTCTGCCATTTCCACAGAGAAGCACATGTGCGCCCTCTCCTCTGGTAATTCCCTTCTCAAGCAATCTTCCCAAGGACCAAGCAAGTTTTTGCGTTTCATTATATGAACAGTGCAACATCTACATATACAAAAAACTTACAAGATAGTCAAAGAAATCTGTGACCACACTTCTTCTATCCTTATAAGACATCTACCAGAAGAAAATGTACTCTTTGGCCATGATGATAGACTATATTCTAGGTTCTACTATGATATGGTCAAAGGGCGATGTCATCCGTCCATCCATCGGGTACTTACCGCCACCCTGCTCTCGGTGGCGGACAGGGAGTGGCCCTTGCCCATAGCATACAAACACAAAACTTGTACGAGCGACCACCCCCACCCCCACCGTGCTGGAGCCCTCAAGTTGACAACCAATTGAGATTTGCACGTACTGGGAAGAAGAAGAAGATGCCTGAATAGATCATCTTCGTTCTGTTTTTGTAGAATGTTCTTTTTTGCAGAATGTTCTTCATTTAAAAATGCATTTTGTTGTGTTAAACCCACAGCGTGGCGGCTGCAGTGTTCAACAAGGCACTCAGGACTCTGAAGATCAAGAAACCAGAGAAGAAAGAAGAGCAGGGAACTGAAAATCACGGATATGTCTGACAAACATTCGGCACATAGGAAGGTGTTAAACAGCACACTTTGGTCGATTGATGTAGCTTCCTATGCCTCAGGTTACATAATACGTATTCTTTTCCGTTTTCAACTTCCGTAACCTAAAAACTTTAAATACACCCTACGGTGATTTGATGTTGTTTTGTAACTTTTTACCTTTTTACCTTTTGTTTACTTTTCCGATTTCAATATCTTGATAACATTTCAAATGAAAGCTAGAGTTTAACCAGTGTTGATGATGTTTTAAAGGGAAGAAGGTGCACCTAGCTAGCAATTGAATTATAGATACGGATACACTGGGCGATCAGACAATGTTATCTGAAATACCGTAGTGCCATCTTGAATTAACTTAATATCCTACAGTGGTCGTCAACATAGGAGAAGGCAATGTCAAACAAAATATTTGGTCAGCAATGCATCCAGATGTCTTGCCGTTTCATATTTGTATGCTTTCATTCGAAGTTTTGGCATATGATCTAAAGATGGTGATGCGCAAATATTGCTCTAAAGAGGAAATGCAATGTACTTAAAACACACGTAGATAACACTCTCAAAGTTGCAGCTGTCTTTGGCTCTCCGAGTATCTTCCTGAATTATACTTAGAGCGGATTAAACAACCAACGGCAGCTGGCAAGGTGATCTCATCATAATGTTCCATGCACTTCAATAAAATATCCTGACTTATCATGATGATGTAATCTGACATGCAGCTGTTCTTGACTGTTTTCCTGTCATGACGTTAGCTTCACAATATTCCTGTTTCCTATGAGTATAAGCAGATAACGGCAGGTTGTGTTATCGGCGGTGCGCAATAGTCTTGGGGAAATCTCGGGTGTTTCGTAAGTAGGAATAACGCGTAATATTACAATGGCTGCAGGTAGAGCTGAGTACTATATCTAAGCAAGGACATTATACACTGTATATATGTCCTTGATCTAAGGGACACTGTCTTTGCCAGTGGAAGAGACCTTGGCGACCTGGAACCCATATATCTACTAGTAGTCACATCACCAACTGCAGTAGACAAAGCTTGCCACTTCCTACAGTCAATCCGAGAAGATCAAACAAAAATGAATAACTTCATCAGTGGACAATCCAATCAAGACCGAACATAAGGCAGTAACCATCTCCGGACTAGAAATAACAGTATAGCAGGTCAATGACTGCAACAACAACGTAGTTTACTCATCCACACGTCCAAACAGATCAAAACCACAGAAATGTGATCAACGGTGCCAAGAACAAACATGTGCATAGTTACAACGATTGAGCAGGAACAAAAACGCCAGGGAAAGTTTTGATTAGAATACAACACAGCGTCAACAATGCAAAAACAACATGTATTAATTTGGAAAAAAAAACACGCCAAGGTGGGATGCAACAAAGAGTCGGTGACACAAAGCGACGCAGAGATTGGATTTGAATCGCGATGTTTCACTTAAATATACCCCTTTCCAAATCCGCTCTCGCGTCAGTTGGGTTACTCTCCAAGCAGAGGTTTGGGTTTTGGGGGTATTTTTAGCGTGTTTGTAGGCTTTTTATTGGCATTTCTCTTTTGCACTGAATTTTTTTCCCCACAAAAGTTTGGTGAGTAAGTTAGGTTGCTTATTTAGCTCCTGTTCAATTTCGGATTTCTGAGTTAGGTAGTTAGTTATTTAATTAGTTAGCGAAGTTACCCTCTGTACTTAAGTTAGGTAGTTAGGTAGCTAGTGATGCGGGAGCATCATTACGTGTGGCGGGGGATGGTGTAACAGGCCAATCACTGAGTTTAGACGGTCTTGGGTCACGTGGTGAGAACACGTGGCGTCATTGGCCAAAGCCTGACCATCCTGACCACGCCTCCACCAAAGCAGATGTCGCCCCGCCCTCCGCGTATGGTATTCAATAGCGGGACGCACCCGAAAATCTCTCTACTGCTCTTCACCGCTCTGTTTCCTGCCGTCCGTTCCAGTACCAAGGTTAGTTTAGTAGTTTCCCTGCGTCACAACTTCTGTACAGGTACTTGCTTCCATTGTCTTTGTCTACTTTAGTATTGTGGTTATAGATCCGTTGTATGTTCCTTTGCTTTGTACCATAAAAGTCACATCAGATATAAATCGACCAGGCTTTGGCGTTACTTAGAGTGAGAGTCTAGAAACTAGTTCCTTAGAGTGAGAGTCTAAGGTACCGTACGTATTAGATCTGTAACCGTAATCGTAAGTACTAACTGTAATCTTAAGTTATCCCAAATCCTACCACACACAGAAAGACCGTTTGTTACAAAATGTTTACACGTTGTGTGTTTATCATTTCGGACAAACTGTCTTTGATCTTTTCTTTGTGCTAGAAAAAATTATGTAGATATTTACTAGTATTATAAGGCTCTGGGAGCTTGCTACAGTGATATTTTAGCGACCAGTGCTTTTACGAATAGATTGACGATACATTAGACATTTAGAACATATCTGTTATTCCTGTCCCATTAACCCAGTAGCCATGTTTACACCAAAGTTGATGTAAGGGGTTGAAAAGGACACTTTATGTATAATGCAAGAGGCCATCGGCTATTGAAGTTTTTGTGGCCAGTATGATAATCTGGTCAATGCAAATTCGATGCTTTGGTCCCTTCTACATCAAGGACATGTCGTATAGGTGCTAAATCGTAGTAAATGTTGTATTGTTCCCGTGCGTGTGTAACGTCAATGTCTGTGTCCTGCGTGTGTTCTTGCTAGCCCTGTAGTTAGTCTCCCTTGCAGCATCCAAAAGAACCTGAACACCACCTCGGTTACATTTGGCGTTGTCGGCAACATATGACATGTCCTTGATGTAGAAGGGATCAAAGCATCGAATTTGCATTGACCAGATTATCATACTGGCCACAATAACTTCAATAGCCGATGGCCTCTTGCATTATACATAAAGTGTCCTTTTCAACCCCTTACATTACCAATTCACAAGTCATCAACTTGATGACTTGTGAATTTGATTTTGCGGAAAAACCATTGCCCTTTGTTGGCTCATTATGCCAAATGATCAGTGTTTGGACTGTATTCAGACTTATTTACTTTGACTTACAGTCAGACTGGTGTGTCTTAGACATGAAAGGGCAAATTCAGACAGGTAAGTGCAAGTGTCGTGTTGGACATTTAGTGCAAGTATATTAGCTGATTGATATATGGGCAAGATTTTGTGTATAGATCTCTCTTCGTACATAAAATATTTCATTCTAGTTCCTGTCTTCCAGATCAATTCAAACACCTTTTTAGCTTAAACTCAGATCATCATCAATATAACACTAGACATTGTAACGATTGTAACAAATAATGTTCACCATGATGACTTGATTCCCCATTACCTGGAACACTTTACACCGGAGTTTACGAACTAATTCATCTTTCTTGAACTTTAAGAGCACTTTAAAACAAAACCTCATAAACAACCCAATATTCTATTAGCTTAATTCCCTATTAGATAGTCTTATTCATTGTCATTGTAGCTGCTATATTTCTTGGTTTGGTTTATTCAAGTGTTGCTTAGCTTCTTCACTGGTTTATTTTGCTATAATTTTGTTTTTAAATATATATATATATATATGTATAATGGGTACTTACGATTTGTTGATTTGTTACTTACGATTTGTTGACATTTTCCCTAAAACTAACACTTTGCAAACTATCTGTCACCTATCAAGGTACGGTGTTGGTTCCATGGACCTGTAAGCAAATGTTTGCAAATTAGGCAAAAATACCCAAGATAGAAAATAAAGCATCATAACTCTAGCACTTAACAAGTCTAACTGACGTCAAAATCACTGTCGGTATAGGGGCCTATATATGCATATATTCATTTCAGGGCTATGGAAAGTAAATTGTCATGTTCTATGGCAACCGCTGCTAAGGACGTTACACACGTTTTCTTCCAGTGTGCGGTTGGATTGACCCGGGCATTCTGGGTAAAACCTTGACACACGAACACCTGGTGGCAGACTTCTACTGTTACTGGTCCGACCCGCCCCAGCATGCACCTCGCCCGGATACGCTGTCCTTTACCGTGGAGAATCTGGGGTTCATCAGACAGTATCCGTAGGTTTTTCATTTTTGATGAGCCAGGAAGAATTTAGATTGAAGAGTGTGGATGGGCATT